AAATAAACAGGAATATCATGTTGTAGAGATATTCTTTGTATTTTCTCTGAGAGGCCGGCAATATAAGGTACACAGACACCCCTTCTCTTCTTTTCTCTCTGTTGGTTGGTTTCCTCTCTGTTTGTTTTAATTTTCCTAACTTTGCCAAAGGCCCATTTAGGGTAGCTACACCCTGACAATGCCTTCTCGATGTGTTTGACCTCACTTTCTCTCGACTTGGTGTTGGTGGAGATTTGGCTCGCTCTGTGTTCAAGTGTTCTAATTACGCAGAGCGAGCCAAATCTCCACCAACACCAAGTCGAGAGAGAGTGAGGTCAAACACATTGAGAAGGCATTGTCAGGGTGTAGCTACCCTAAATGGGCCTTTGGCAAAGTTAGGAAAATTAAAACAAACAGAGAGGAAACCAACCAACAGAGAGAAAAGAAGAGAAGGGGTGTCTGTGTACCTTATATTGCCGGCCTCTCAGAGCAAATACAAAGAATATTTCTACAACATGATATTCCTGTTTATTTTCAACCGATAAACACATTGAGACAAAAACTAGTACACCCCAAAGACCGGGTTCCTAACACCCAAAAATGCAATCTGATTTATTCCATCCGTTGCCAAGAAAGTGAGTGCAAGGAACATTACATTGGAGAAACCAAACAAACACTCAAGAAAAGACTTTATCAACACAAATGGAAAAACAATGATAACAAAAGTGCAGTATACGCACACTTAAAAGAACCAAACCACACAATTGAAGATGAACAAGTAAAAATCCTAGGAACAGAAAAGAGATGGTTTGAAAGGGGAGTAAAGGAAGCGATTTTTGTTAAAAAATTTTCACCCTCTCTGAACCGTGAAGGAGGTATCAGATTTAACCTGTCTCCTATTTACAATAACTTGTTGACCAGACATAGACATAGACATGCTGATCAGGCTAACTGAAAGTAGCTATTCAGCCTTAGCCCAAACAATAGGCCTAATCAAGACCCAATGATAGGGAATTTAGAAACCAATGGGCCTCTAATAAACCAATAGGGGCGTGACTAACCATCCCCACCCAGTCCTCAAACAGGCCACGCTCAGCTTTTTAGCGCAGAGCAACTTCCCGGAGTCTTCACGGAGACTTCAGGGTTGTCTACCGCTGACGAAGCTTCTGTGAGAGAAGCGAAACGTCCTTTTTTGCTTTTTTTGTTTTTTTGTTTTTTTTGTTTTTTACCCACAGGTACAGATGACGACTGACAGAACCCTTTCTACGATGGAACTTTCCTGTACGACTGAGAGCCTCCACAAGCTTCTTCTTTGATTGAAAATGACATCCAAAAGCCTTGCGGTGTGGCATTTTGACTCCTTTTTTCCGATGATGACAGTAGCTCGCATGTGTTTTGCTTTGCTTGGCAGAGAGCAGCAACCATTCTATGGCATAACTCAGAATGCATTGCGACACTGGCGATAAGAAGATAAAATAAGAAAACCTTTATGCATTTGTGCATGTCAGTGATAGAAAGACATCACGCTTCTTTTAGCCACTAGTACATATGAAATGCTAAATATAGTTAGGAAATATTGTCAAACCCGATATATCTCTGGAAAAAAATTAAGAGACTGCTGCAAAAATCTTTGATTTTGCTCCTATATATATATTTGTGTTCTTTTTAGCCTCTTCATTTTTGCCAGAGCTATATATCAAGTTCGTTTCACACTGCACTTATAGCACAGCAAAGAGCAGCCATTGACCAACCCATTCATTGTGTGCGGGCTACCGTGGCGCAAAGGCTCAGCACCTGCCGTGGAGGCGAGCGGTGTAAGGGTTGGTAAATGTCCAATTCAGGCGGTGACACCCGGTAGGATCTTATCTGGAACCCAAGTTTGTTTTTTCTTAATTGCAAAAGGTCATGTGACAGAACATGATCGGTCATTCCATCTGATTACAATTTTAACTCACTGCAAAACTAGTTGGCGACAAAGTGCATGCGGAACCATGCAATCGACTCGACGGTTGTGTCACCTTCCCCGGTGTGCGGCAGGCCTAAAATGAACAATTGAGTGAAGATGCAAGTCTGTGTTTTACTGAGCAGCGCATGGTTCTCCTCGCTCATTCCGCTCCTTGTCTCGCGCAGCTGGTGATTCCACTTAGCGTTCAGGACGACCTGGACAAGGCCGTGGAGCTGCTAGATCGAAGCGTTCACATGAAGAGTCTCAAGATCCTCTTGGTGCTGCAGATCTCCTCGCAGGTCACTTGGGTCAAGTCTATCGCCAACCTTTCCGCCAAGGCGCTCTTATTTTTCAGTTAATTTTTTTTTCTCCCTGCTTTCTTTTTCCAGAACTCCTCTTGCAATATGGGCCTTCTGCCTTCCTGCGAGGAGTTGGACAACACAGGACTGAGTGTCACAGACAAGAAGAGCATGCTGGCATCGTCAGGTGAAGGACTGAAAATGGCTGTGTTTGGAATCATTTATTGGTTCGCTACTCCCGGATGAAAAAAAAAAGCTATTATCAATTGGAATTGTGAGATGGAAACAGATTCTAACCCTTTATCAATAGTGTTATAAAGTTTTAGCTTTGATAAATCCTTGATTTTTAGCATGCTAATTTGATTTTGAGTAACTGTTGTGTCCTCCGGACTCAGGGTCTCATTCGACGGACCGTAGCTCTCCTCCACCCGGATACATTCCTGACGCACTCCAGCAAGTGGCCAGGAATGGCTCCTTCACGAGCATTAACAGTGAAGGAGAGTTCATTCCAGAGAGCATGGACCAGGTGCGCCTCCTGTCTGCAAAACTGGCACTTCTCTACATACAGCAAGTATGAGTGGTGCTTTTTTTTTTCTCCTCAGATGCTCGACCCCCTGAGCATGAGCAGTCCCGAGAACTCTGCATCTGGAAGTTGTCCTTCTTTAGACAGCCCGTTGGACAGGTAGAGACATTCTGGTTTCATCAGGCTACGGCGAGTGGCAATGGTACCAACTTGAAAGTGACGCTTATCTGTTAAACAGTGAATATCCAAAGTCAAGGATGCCAAGAGCACAGAGTTACCC